CAGCACAATTCCCCCCCCCCCCCCAAGTGCTGGTATGCTTTCTAAGGCTCAGTGCAGGGTGACAGTCCGAGGCCGACACTGGGGGTTGAGTTTATTCTGTTTTCTCTTGTAATGTTTAAATTATTCTTAAAATATAGAATTCATTCTGAGATTTTTATAAGGTTATGGAAATAATCTTCTAAAAAACGAATGAATGCAATACTCAAATGCAGACTCACTCACAACTTTAATGCTACTAGCTTTTTTTCACTCACAAGGTAGAATTTTTGGCTACAACACTGTGGAGCTTAGAGGGAACATTGCGTGGGATCATGCTGGATGCAGCTTTATTGCCGGAGAAGCAAGTTAATGCAGCTGCAAAGAAGGTTTTCTTCCAACTCGGCCTAGCCTGTAAAACAGTCCCATACCTTGATACGCCTGACCTGGCCACCAGGATCCATGCCACAGTAACACTGAGACTAAAGTACTGTAATGCATTATACGTTGGTCTCCCCTCAAAATGAATTCAGAAACTATAACTGGTCCAGAGTGCCGCAGCTCAACTATTAGCCAGAGCTCGATGGAGCCTGCATATTACTCCCATTCTGCAAACCCTCCATTGGCTGCCCATTTGTTACCGTGCACAGTTGAAGGCACTGGCTGTCCTTCATGGTCTCGGTCCCTCTTATTTATGGGACTGCCTATCTATGCTCCATCATGACAACTCCACTCAGGTCAGCAGGGGTTTCTGCAGGTGCCCACCTGCAAATGAGCAAGATCAGCTACTGCCCATACTTCTGTGCCTTCTCCGTTGTAGTTCCCACCTTCTGGAACGGCTCAGGTCAGGAAAGCTCCCACAGTCTCCTGGCCTGGCCTTCCATAAGCTCTGCAAAGCTGAACTCTTCAGAGGACTTCTCCAGGCAGGCAATCAGGCTGCACAGCACAAAATAGTCTCACAAACCTGCTTGGATGAATGATCGGGACTCATGGTCTTTCCTGCTGCATATAGCACACTGTAAACAGAATCCTACTATGTCATTTCTGTACTGCTGAACAGGTTATACTGACACTCATGCTGTGCTCCCGTTCCTCCAGGTGGTTTCCAGTCTTCTGATGTGATCGTTATTGAACATCCAATCTTGTGAACTGTACTGACTCCCTATGCCTAATCTGCTTCGAGTCCCTGTGAGAATGGTGGACTATACGTAAATAAATAAAATTAAAACTGACAACAGTTACTTCCCACATAGCAACGGAGCTCCCATCGTCACCATGAGTGCAGAGGGATTCACCGTGGCAACAGAACATTACAACACTACAGTGATGCAGCAATTCCTGATTTAAAAACAAAAAAAGCTCAAAAACAACCCTCCAGTGGTGCCATGTGTGTGTGTGTGTGATAGTAGCTGCAAGGGACTAGATCGAAGGGTCAAACGCAGAAGCAGGACACAAACAGTCATGGAGATGCCAAGCAGATGCTCTGCTTCTGAGGCACACGCACTGCACCAGACAGCTTATACCCAGAATAAAACTTGGTTGGTCTTAAAGGTGCCACCAGATTCAAACTTTGTTCTGCCGCTTCAGACCAACACAGCGACCCACCTGAACCTGTCTTCGTGGTGGGCAAGACCATCTCTCTGCTGGCCAGGGTGCTTTGTGGGCGGTCTCAATCCCCACCGTTAGTTGCTGGGACTGCATCAGGCCCAGGGGAGGAAGGGGTTGTCAGCAAGAGCACTTGGAGGAGACAGAGAGAACTGAAGCCCAGGCTATTTCAGACTCGGCAGCCTCCGCCTTCCCCATTTTAAACATTGCTCAATAGAATTCTGTCAAGGCATCCAGTAAACAGGGGAGGAAGGAAGAGTGCGGCAAAGGCAGATATCATTTCCCTTGCCCTGCCCAAAATTACAGGCCCTCAAGACCAGTGTGTGTGTGTGTGTGTGTGTGGGCGGGCATGCGGGGGTGGAAGGAAGACGAGAAGAGCACCCTTCTCCACCTTCCTTTGCATGTGGCCCCAGAAACTATGACAGCACAGGGGCTGAGAAAGGAGAACAATAACTTGGTTCCACTTCAGACACGTTTGGGCAGTGCTAAGACCACCAAGCGGTGATTTCCCAGGGCCCTGGAGCCAGGGGCGACTTGGACTTCTTCAGGGGACAGATCTTGATGATGTTTTCTTGTGGTTCGGTGAAAAGGGGATCCAGGAGACAGGCAGAAGCTCGTGCAGCAGGCCTCAAACATTAGCAACCCCGGGTTGCCAGCTCTGGCTCAGGAAACACCTGGAGACTTTGTAGGTGGAGCCTGGGGGGGGAAGGGACCTCAGCAGGGTATAATGTCATTCAGCCCCCACCTCCCAAAGCTGCCATGTCCTCCAGGGGAACGGATCTCTTTCGTTTGGAGATCAGTCATAATTCCAGGAGATCTCCAGGCCCCACCTGGAGGCTGGCCACACTACAGCAACCCAAGGTCTTTCATTTTGATTCCAAATCTTTTGCATCTCCCCCACAAGGCCTCTCCTCTGTCCATCACTGGCTAACGACACACATTGGACAGCCCCTTTACACTGTGTGTGTGTGTGTTAAGCCAAACAAACCCTTCTGAACACTCAAACAACCTCTGACCAAAACAGTGACAAGAACCCCGACATCTGCTACACTTTAAAAGCACCCGAAAAAGGCTGTATCTGAAGAGGTGTGCATGCACACAAAACCTTATACTTTGAATAAAAATGTGTGGTCTTAAAGGTGCCACTGGGTGACCTGGGGCCAGTCACTCACTCTCAGCCTAACCTACCTCACAGGGTTGTTGTGAGGATAAAGTAGAGAAGAGGAGAATGATGTCAGCTGCTTTGGGTCTCCACTGGGGAGCAAGATGTCTGTGCTGTCTGGATGTGGCTTATGAAGTCAGATCTCAGAAGATGGCAGCTTCCACTGGGCCACTGCCTGGAAGTCCCCGACCCTAGTTCTAATTACCCTCACCCCGTGATTAGAAGGGGCTTTTTACTGCAGCCTCCCTTATTTATTCATTTATTTATTTATAAGTTCAATTTATACCCCGCCCTCCCAGCTCAGGGCGGCTTAGCAGTTAAGGCCGTCTAGCTGAATGACTGGGGGGGGGGGGGGGG